CCACTCCTCCAGTAAAAACAGGCACAGCACAAAACTTGTTCTCAAAGTCTCTGACTCGCTGGTCTAGTCCCATTCAACAACACTGGATGCTGGTCGTGTCGTCTGCTCCTTGGACACGACACTACAATACCATTCGACACGACATTTTGTCAACATTGATAAGAGGCTGAAATGTTGAGACATGGTTGAGATCGAGAGATCCACATTCGATTACCTGTAGGATCTACCAATAGATGCGAGACGGCGCCGAAGAGCCGATTTCGCGATTCACACCTTGGTGCCATTGCAATGAGTGCCCCTGTATTTCTCACAGAGTACCCGATCTTTTCCCACGTAAAACTTAAGGGAAGGCTTTGCAATTCCTATTCGTTTAAGGAGGTAACCCGGCAAAAGGAGACGCATGTACGCATGACCAGTGGGTCTGAAGAGAAATGCTGTAATTTCCTGAATCTCTACATTGAAGTACTCTCGTGCCCAAACGTTGACAATTCAACGCTGACAACATTTTTTCGATGGTGATCTGTTTCATTTCGGGCAACTTTTTCCACAACATTGAGGCAACATCGTCACGTCGAAAAACCAACCTTTGTTCAATTGTGGCACAACGTTGCTGGGCCGAATGGGTATGCTTAATAGATTCCCTTGTTATCGTGAATCGTCGAATGATCGCAACGATTCCGAAGGAATTCATCTAACCCTCGTATATGAGAAAGGAGGCGAAACCACCCCAATGGAAAGGCGAAGAGAAAGGTCATGAAGGACGTCCAATGCTTATAGAATTCCAGAGATCATGTACAGTTTTATTTCCTTCGTTGGCACGAGTGGGAAATTACTCTCTCAAAATACTCCCCTTTCACAAAATCAAATTTTATTACAGCTCTTACATGAGGGGTACGAGAAGCACAGAAGAGTCCGAGAAGGGAAAGAGAGGCAAGCAGAAAACGAACTCGAGAACGCAGTCGCATCTCAGGTCCAACAATACAGAGAAGAGATGATGCCATTCCTGGAAGGACCCTCCATGATCAGCCGGAAGGAGCTGATGAATCGACACTTGGAGCATTCCCTGCAAGCCATTAGGACCCTTTCGGAGAGAGGCGAGCGGTATCCCCACATTTCAAGGAAACACCTGGACGAGTTGGAGCAGGTAAACCTTATGATTTTCTAGCATATATTTCTGTAGACTCCATTGGAGTTTTCCGCATAATTTCTCATTCGCTCGGATGCACGGGGAATTCTTTATTATGCACATATATCATCAAAATTTTATATCGGGATTCATTTGGAATCCTCAATTTCCTGCTTAGCTGAGACTTAGCAATAGTTTTGAAGCCAATCGCTTGAAAGTAAGGGTAAAAATGTTCATTGATTTAGAGACAAGGGTTTGAAAAAAAAAAAGTTAATCGTTTCCCAGCAATTCAGTCCTTAACCCTGAAACGACCAAGCTGGGTCAAAGCCCGGAGCCAAAGATATAACATCGGAACTTCGAGGCTTGGTAGTTTAAGGGTTCGGCTGAATCTTCCCATCTGACTTCCTTGCTTCTCGCTGTTTATCTTTTTTTCGATCGTTTTCTATCGGTTCCTAATCCAACACAAAATGTGTTCTTCTTTCCTATTACCTGGACTATAAGACTCAGGATAAGCTGACAAATGATAACATACATTTTGAGGGGGTGATAATTATTCATTCGTTACCATATTCGAACCATTACTTTATTTTGTAATCATTCATTGTGGACAGACACTTCTCATTTATTTTAGGATGAAATCTACGACGCATGCCCGTGAATTTACAAATAAGGCTTACAGGTTTGAGAGCACTAGCGTCAATGCGCCCTCGATCAAAGCACGCTGGGTGGCAGAGCCGTAGACGCTCTTATCGTATTAGCCTCGTGGGAAAAGGTTTTTTTTCCTTTCCTTGCCTGACGGAAAACCGCTTTCGTATTCGGTATGCTACGCCAGCGGGAATGGAACAGAGTATCGTCCCTCATCCCTGCATTAAGGGAAATACTAGTATAGAATACTGATGCTAGACTAGAAGACTAGACTAGAATGGAACATGGGCGTTGGGAATTACCTCAATAAGTTAGTCGAGCTGAGTGACCGTAATTCGAATCGAATTCAACCGGGGAAACTGAGCTTAACCATTGAAGCGGAAAATGAGATTCATTTTCGCAAGTCCGTGAAGAAGTTTTTCACATTCGGTTCATTTACTCTTTCTCCGTGCACCCATCACTCTGAGTTGTTAAAGAATACAGGAGAAAATATTCCTAACGAAACTCTTTTTCGATGATTGAAGCAAAAGGATCGAAAAGTTACTCCAGGCCGCGAATGCCATGATTACTGATCCTGCCGCCCAGCATTGCATAAATGATTTGCGCATTCACTTTCTTTGCAAACAAATGTAAAACTAATTATAAAAAGCATTAATTTGGGTCAGAATTTCCTACTGCATGCATCCTTGGTCATTCAGCGGTTCATTTGAAAATTTCTTCATCGCGTAAGTGTGGACTTGCCAACCAGAATTTGAAAACCCTCCATGATTTTCTTCTTCCGATAGATCTTGCATGAGACGTCCCAGGAGTACGAGGAACGACGCTCAGATGCCGAGAGAGACGCGAGATCCCAGCTGGAGAGGGCGTGCTGTATGGCTGCAGAGGAATACAAGAGGAGGAGGTGGAAGTTTTATGGAGGAGTCATGGCCGGCTGGGAGGCGCTCCTTGCAGATCACGAGGAGCAAGTAGAAGCGGCTCTCGATACCTTTTCGTCTCTCGGCAGTGGTGTTGCCGAATGGCTTGTAGAGGAATTCAAGGAAATATTGCTGATGGTCAGTCCTGCGAACTACGGTCGCGGTATTTTTCCCAAATAATGGCCTCCTTCCGGCATGCTAACCGCGCCTCTCACCGTCCACAGACCCTCGACACCTGGCACGACACGTTGGAGAAGGAGATGGCAGAGGAACGACCAAAGAGAAGGCAATCATCACTCGTCACTCTTTCCCTGGCTGTCCTCGTGGGTTTAGCGGTGGCAAACGGGCTGAAGAATTCCGCTTTGGGCACGGGGGCCGTTGTGGGAATTCTCGTAGCCACTTGGTGGTTGACACCAGGTATCGCAGAATCAATTTGGAAGGAAAAGATGGCAGACAGACTCACCGAGAATATTTGCTGGACATGACTAAGAAAAGGCCTCGGTCATACATGAACCGAAATATTCCCATTCCATGTCGTTTAAGTCTTCTCTCATCAACAAGGAATGGACTTATTTTCATGGAACGTCTCTTATTTCACGTTCTAACTGGAAATCATCAAGTAAACACGTTCCATTTGGGATTAGCAGGAGAGAAAATGAAATGACGTGAAAAGCTTCTCAGCGAGAGCCGAAGAGACTTCATATAAAAAGACTCATCGCCTCTCAGACGGAAAAAAAAATTGTTCAATTATGTAAAATTTTGATCATGTTGAGTATTTGCGTGGGAATATAAGTGCGTGACTCGACTCAGCGAGACTTAGTGTTCTCCTAATGTTATCATTTTGGAAACTGAGTGTTGCTCTCTGGGCAATAAAGACAACAAACAACCAGTAACCGAGCTGCGTTTCGATTAATTGAAGTTTTACACGTTTTCTCGGGAAAAAGGGGTATTATCTAACACGTGACGACCATCGTGAGCTACTTAGTGCCCGACGCTTTTTCTAACCATGTTCTAAATCGGATGAGAGGATGAAACTCGGTGCACGAAAGCTGTTAGATTGCAGCCTCCAGGAAAACTCCGAGATTGGATGTGCACGCTCTGGGGGCATGCTCGGGTGGACTGACCATGCAGGCGTATATCTAACCCACGGACGGACGCCTATGCTCGCGTCACTCTCGCATTTCTCCTTCAGCGAAACGGGAATGAGAAATTTCAGGAGACGTTGCGATTTAGAAGGTCTTTGCTTATCACGCTGACAGAGAGTCAGGCCTACACAAATATTGAACGCTATATTCAACAGCAACTTTCCACACTTTTTTGTTCAATTTCTAAAGGCCTTCACACTCTAGTCAAACATATTGGCGTCCAAAAGAGACGTTACTATATAATGTTGGGCTCGTCCGCGAACATGGAGCCTGGAAAATATCATGACAGTCCTTTGCTGAATATGTCAATATCGCTCCAAGGTTATTAGCGGTTCCTCGCCGACCTTGGAATGCTGTGCAAGCGTGCAACTTAAGGAAAATGGCAAACTAAGTTTTCTCTATGCCACATGTAAAGTCCGGGTTTCCAAAGACAAAAAAATGGGTTAATTCAATGGTTCATGTTACATCGTCTCCAAAAAGCATAAGAAATATGCCAAGGTCAACGCAGCATCGAAGGGACGTGGCGATTAAAATGCGCCAAGATGGTGTAACGTTATACCCTCTTGTTACACCCTCTTGGTTATGTGACACCCTCTTGGAGTATTTTCCTTGCGCACTAGTATATCCCTAATATTTTTTCGAAATTCGGGATGACATGCATAGCGGAATTAACCCATTTTTTACCGATGAAAAATTGAACTTTACACATCGCACAGAGAAAACGTAATCAGGCATATTCCTCACGTGGCTCCTGCCCAGCACTCAAGGGTTAGGGACCACACGCTAATATTTCAGCGTTATTGACCTGTTCAGGAAAGGAACAGACACGATGCCATCACAACATCCACTACGAGAGCGAGCCCTGAATTGCCCTTGCACTCTTTATTTTGGACCCTGGTATATATTTGATGAAGGAGAGGAATCGATGAAGGCATGGACTCGGGGGTGTGATGCGCGGCGCCTGTTCAGCGTGTGAGCGTGCATCGACCACGATCAACAATGACTCAATGGATCGATTAATCGATGTCCACGTGCACGAGGCGACTTCCATGGCGACTTCCATGAACGCAAGAAGGCAATTCCGGTAGGAGTCGCAAAGCAAGTCGAGAGTCGGTCCGTGACGATTCTCCATTCGCTCCACCTTCGCGGCACACAAGATCACATCGACGACGAAACCTGCCGAATCGGGAAGCCTTCTTCCCACACGAGTGCAATCGAGTCGATCGTGCAGGGAGTGGATGCAGATGCTGGGATCGTGCAGGGAGAGGATGCAGATGCTGGAATCGTGCAGGGATTCCCCTTATGTGTGGACGCACGGCGCCAAGCCAGCTATCGCGGATTTCCTTGAGGATCGTCATCGTTGAGTGTTAAACAAGGTCAGCCATCCCCCAAGCTATGCATTTCTACATGGCTATTGAAAGCACCAGAAACAACCAGCAAAATATCAGCAAAATAAAGGACCAAATGTTCACTTGTCTTCCCTCTGATCTCTCTCACCTGGGAAATGTTGACATGCACATGCACAAAACGTATACTCTTTTTTTTTATACAAAAAACATAAAACATGGTTTAATGTCCTAGAAAGACGACTCAGATATAATGTGCGGTTTTCAAAAGATCAATGACTCACGTTCAATGAGCGCATGGTTTTGTATATATTCATTTCAGACTGGCCGTAAGAGCAAGAAAATGATCATTTTGAAGTGGACACGCTTTCTCCATTCAGGATTTTATTTCCTATTAGATTCCTGTCGATTTATTATGGCTTTATTGTTCCGTTACTGAGCATTGGGTCACTCAGAACCGATTGTTCCTTCCACTTTGGCCGCCCGCAGTATCTCTCATTCGCAATCTAATTGATAGAATCACGAGATGTGATTCAATTCTTGACCGAAAGTGCACAGGAGCAACGTTCAACGCGCGATTTCGACGACTGAGGGGAACGTCTCCCTGAACATCTAAAAAGGGGAAACAACGTCAAATCCCAGTTTCGCTCTCCCTTCTTGCGTAAGATGGGTTCTGCAGATGAGTCGACGGAACCCGCAAGGGGAGAAAGGAAATTCGTCCTGAGGGGATACGTTCACAGATCCGACTTTAAGTGCTGGTAAATCATCGGAAGTGCGATGAAGACAAGCGCGCAAGTGCCAAACTTCATTATACTGGACAATCAGCATCAAATTTGTTTAATTAGGGCACCGCCCCCACGAAAAGCAAAACACGGCAGATCAAAATGGTGAATTCATTCGTCAGACACTAAACGATGCTTAAGTTGCAGGCATAGTGCATGAGTTGCATAGTGAATTGCAGGCTCGGAACGACCTTCTTCAGAATCTACACCTGACAAACGGAATTTACCTTTAAAAAAAAATATGATTAATAATTTTAAAAAATCTGCCATCCTTCCTCCTCTTTCATCTCTCTCGTATATAGGGTGTGGAGAAAGCATATTCCCTGGGAAACCTTTTATACTCGTCTACCACATGGTTGGTGTTGCCGTTTATATCAACGCAGTCGTTTTCGGTATCCATCTTACATCGGGTTTGGAACGTGGAACTAGGTGGGCCCCCCTTTTTAAGGGCTGTCGCGAATAAGTTACAAGTCATGAAAATCAGACATGGGACCAACATGGAGTCTATTCCCGGCCAAAATTCTCGGATATGGAATCCCCCTGACACTTTTATTGTGGGTAGCCATAAAGTGATTAACTGGAACTGACAAGTGAGTGCCACCCTTTTGGGGAAAAAATGCGCAGGGTTGTCAGATTCTGTAGGAATCCTTCCATGGCCCGCCACGACATCGCAGGACACTCACACGAAGAAAAGGCATAAAAATCCATATTAAGCGTCGACAAAACCCAATCTATTTTTACAACCCTTCCCATTATGGGCGAGGACAAAACCTTAGAATTTATTGCCCGAAACCTCATCCGTCAAGCTCATTAGCCGTCTTCATTCGGAAATATCCGAGAACTTTGGTCGGGAATAGACCATATGCTCCTGCACAAACTCATAGAGGCAGCGCAGGGGGGCCACCCTTACAGACCTTAGAGGGCCTTCGTCAAAATTGTCGGCCAAATTTCGGGAACTCAACACGGTGGTCGTTGAATAACCACATTTTGGGCCTCCTTGATGAAACCCTTTTTCAGCTGTTGAAGTAGTTAATTAGAGTAATTTTTATTCATAGCTTGTCCAAAGCCAAACGATTGATTAATAAGCAAAAGCCATAAATTCGGTAGTATGCGCCTCCCCATTTCTGCATATGATGTCGCCAACCCTTCCAAAAAAAGCTCTGATACGATGACGCGCGGGAACCAGATCCCCAAAGCACGACCCAGCATCCCGAGGTCATGCCGACCCCGCGCATTCTGGCGCCCGACCTCGGAGGCCGACCGGCGACCCTACCACGGAGCAGAGCGACCCCCCAAGGCGAGAGCTAGGATCTCAGGAAGACCGTTTCGAAACAATCAGGTTTAATCACATGCATGATGCTCAAGAGAACAAGATGCGTCTTATTAGATATCGCCCAATGAAATCCTCCTCGCACTTAGGCACGAATCAGTTGGAAAATGCGACCGCAGTGGAGAAAAAGAAACTCGAAGACGCGGGGAAAGCCGCTTATCGGGAGAACGACGCTCAGATGAGTCGGTGGGCCGGAGACAATCTCATTGGTAAATGGGATCTGATCGAGAGACGCGAACAACTTAGGAATGAAGCAATGGATATGCTCTCGGAGTCAAGATCACAAAGGCCCGAAAATTTTCAAAAATTCAAGGACGATTTGGAAAAAGTCAACTTCATTGCATTCTTCATGACACCGAGGATAAACTCACGCGATCAACTCCCGCTTCTGGAAAACACCCGGCAGCGTCTGCGATCGAGTTCTGATGATCTCATCTAAACAGAGGGAGAGAAGGGAGAAGCACTGGAATCGGCTGTCACCGACGCCAGGATGAGCCGATGGCGCGAGAAGGACCTGATCGGCGAGGAGGACCTGCGAGCAAGGGATGCAGAATATTGGAAGGAAGCGATCTTCGCCTTCGCTCAGCACGGATCGCAGAGGCCGATATTCAAGAACCTCCTGGAAAACTCGCAACAAGCACGTCGCGTGTTCAACTCGCGTGATTCATAAATTGCGCTTACACGTTAGAATAAAGTTTTTCTCTTCCCCAAAGCGCCTACAAGCCCGATACGAATTCCATCGAAAAAGAGAGGATAGAGAGAGGCAAGCGGAAATGCAGTTGAAGACTACCAAGAAGAGACACGAAGATTATCAGAGAGAGGCGAAAACCTTTCTTTCAGGGAGAAGAAAGGTTTAGATATTGGAGCCCACTGCCCACATACTTCTGAGAAATTCGAGAACGAGTTGGAAAAAGTAGATTCCTCGTATATTGCTATTCTCAGATCACACCTAGCTGATAGCGTTCGATTTTTTGCAGTCCCCTCCTCATTTCCTCCTGCAGCTCTTACGACTACGACTTGCAGTCTACGAGGAACCGCGAGACGCAAGAGAAGCAATCGAGAGAGATGCGGCGATGCAGTTGAAGCACGCCCTGTCGTCAGCAGCCGCCGGATACGACATCCAGATGAGCCGATGGATCGAGGGACCCCTGGTCGACGAGGAGGAGCTGAGAGCGAGGGATGCAGAATGTCGCAGAGGGGCGCTCGCGGTTTTCTCGAAGCAAGGATCATAGTGGCCGCATCTTTCGAAGAAATTTAAAGATGAGTTGGAAGAGGCATGCATCATTTTCCCAATATTTTACAATGTAGAGCGAGAGAAAATCTCCAGTCGCTGTTTTGTAGTTATTTGATGAGGGATACGGTAAGACACGGCCAAATATTTCGAAGTTTTAGGCTGCAGCGCCTTTTCTATCGCGAACTCATTCCCACAATTCGATCGTGAGAAAAGAATATATCGCATGGCTTTGATTACTTGATTTTATTACGGTTTGATAGCCTGTCGGACCCCTGAAACGAATCGTACATACTAACACCCAATGGGAGCCCTAATTGTGTTTAATCGTTTTCTACTGTCATGATCTGTTTGTGTTGCTTGATCTGTTTGTGTTGTGTTGCACCGACTGGGATATCGCTGCTAAAAAGAATGTGTATTGGGGGTTATGAGAAACGGTTCCATCCGAAATCATCGCAGACTCTGTTCACCTGGTACGACGATTTGGGGAAGATGAAGGAGGAGGAACGGAAGACGAGGATGCTCACCTCCATCGTCACCCTCTCGATGATGGGAGGCACGGCTGCCCTGGCTCTGAGAATTTCGGCGCTCGGGGCGGGGATCCTCGTCGGATGTTTCCTCAGCGTGGCGGTGGTGGTCCTCATCGGGCGGTGGTGGTCCTCAGCGTGGCGGTGGAAGGAGGTTAATGTCGGAGGGGTCCCCGAGGATCCAAACTGGCGTATCCTGAGAAGAAGTCGACATATATTATCGAAGAAATTCATGTAAAAAGAGACTCTTTAGGTGGTTGACATTCGGCAACCAAAAAGGCTCTTAATTTATTGACTGACGAGAAAAAGTAATAAAAGTTATTGAAAACGAGATGATATCACCAATTGATTCCGTAGACGATTTACTGACCTTCCTTGAATGACTTCCCATTCTTCATCCTAATGAGAGCATCCGCAATTTCCCAACGGGAAGTAGATGGCTTGGCACATCCACGATGAAACTTGAAAATGTTCCTTCTTCTTCTGACGTTCTTCCGCCTCGGCATGCGGGGTACACCACCGACACCTCCAGGTTTCAGTCTTCAACGACTTCAAGGACGAATGAGGTGATCGGATACCATCAGCTCGCTCATTTTCTCCCCTTGCTCATCAGTAGCACGTCATTAAAGGCTCCTATACTCCTTATGAGTCGCATTCGCAGCAGCAATATGACCAGAGCCCACTGAGGAGTCCACGAGGGAGTCCACGAGGGAGACCACGAGGGAGTCCACGAGGGAGTCCACGAGGGAGTCCACTTCGCATGACCGCGTGTCTTTCCGATTCGCCTTTCTGCCAAACTCTGTTACTGCCGCCACTGAGGCCCCTGTTTGAAATGGATTCCGTGACTTCGTTAGAAGCTTAGTGAGGCAGTTGGGCATCGTTTCCGGCCTTTCAAGCTCATCACAAGTTCTGCGTCACCGAACCGCTTCCAGTGCGAAACTGAAAAATCTCATCCCTTCTTTTCGACACGAGGGGTTGGTCTCCTTCGAATTTCGCAAACGCACACGAGGCGAGGAAGCACTCTTCTTTCCTGACGTATTTCATTTTGCATCGTTCGTCAGCCCGAGAAGGAAAACGAGACGAAAAATACGCTTAAAGATTTCGATCGGCAGCATCTAGGATCTTCCGGGAATGTTCTTTAAGGAATTCCCTCATCGACGGGGGGGAATCCGTTTCCCCAGAAATGTCCCGAGGTGGGAACGCGAATAGCCTGGTGAATCTCACGAGAAGAAGCGTCGCGATCCGGCCAATCAAGCGAGAACCGACATCGACAAGGTGTCAGGTACACCTGGTAAATTCAGTACTAGGTGAGGGATTATCAGATCAGCAAATTGCCGACGAGCACGATCGAAGCAGCGTTCGGAGTGAGTCACGACGAATGGGTACCAGGAGCGGCATCGACTGCAATCGATATTGGCATCCAACACCTCATGCAGGGAAATGAACGAAAATGGCCCCATGGGTGAGTCGCGATGGTCTTCCGGGTGGGTCGCGATGGTCTTCCGGGTGGGTCGCGAGAAAAGGAAGCGATCTAAAAGGAAAATACATAAATTAGAAGATTTGAGAGGGGTTAGAGAAGACATTCTCTACAACTATTTTTTATTCTATTCTATTTCCAAGAACTATCCAATCTACTAATCAGTATTAGCAGTAAAATTATCAGTAAAAGTAAGCTTCATCATTATTGCTCTGAGTATTACTTCCAGTCCTTGTTCTTTTCGGGAGGTTCATATATTTATATTAGGACTGTCGATTGATTACAAAAAAGTAATTTAATCATAACCTAGCCAGAATGGGCTTAGTTGCGAATATTGTTAAGGTCCTTACAGGTAGGCTTGNGAAGTGCTCCGATGGGGGGGGGGGGGGGGGGGGGGGGGGGGCGCTGTTTTTTTCTGGGCGGAAGCCGAAGTTTATTTTCTCTATTTCGTTTCTTTGCTGCAAACTGACACGTTTCCTTCTTTGTTATTTTTGGAGTGGACGCCTAGATCGAATTGGCTCGACATCGAAGGAAGTTAGAAGAAGGAAACCTGGAAGGAATGATGAAGGAATCGTCTGTGCCCAGAGCAATATATTAATATATCTTGAAAGCGTCATCTGTGTATTTTTAAAATTCCTCTTTTTCTTGCGCGTCATGCGGTTGCATTTTTTTTTGGATGCTTCTAAATTTGTGGGCCGCATAAATGTGGGAAGAGGGGTCGAGGGATCGCGGCATAAGAAAGAATGAGAAACATTTGTCTGGGGTACACGTTTTTCGTTGAAAATGAGGAAAATGAGGAAATTGCTTCCAAATTTCTCATTTTCTCATTCTCAAAATTACCTTAGATCCTGTAAATTTAGATTGAAATGGTGCATTGATGAATGCTCCGAGCGAAGTACTTCCCGCTTCCAGGTTCATCTGGAACTCGCAAAAGGTACCTGCAAAAAAAAGTTTGAAATTGCGAAGTTTTGCATGAGTCCGGCCGCGCGTGGCACGTGTAGCACCCGCCCCGTCGATCGATGGCCCCTCACTGAACAACGTCCGTGCATGCGAGTCGATGGGCCCCGGCCTCCATCGATTCCGGGAGGGAATTCTAAGGAGGCCGGTGCAGTCCGCCAGGCATCGGGTTCGCCTCATCCCGTCATCCTCAGTCCGCAGCGAGCGTGCCGTCGCGTCCGCCCGCGTCAGCCACACCGAGATGGTCGTGCGACGGTGCATGAAAGTGCATGAAGGTGTATGAAAGTGTGGTGTGCGACGTCGTAGCTCGAGAGGTTCCTGCCGGATGTCCCCCTATCGTACATAGGCGTTCCGGTCGTCGCCGATGATCGATCGTTGAACGAGGGGAATCGGTCAGTCTCCGCTCAGAGTCATGCTTAAAATAGAAAAAAATGCTAAGTAAAGCTAAGCACTTTTTTTTTCGTGAGACATCGAATCGGGTACTTTTCTCACGCGTCTCTCTCAATCGGGAACTGCCAAGGGGCACCAGCAAGCCAAGTATCTCATGCACCAACGGGAAGAAAACTCCCGAGCCGAACTTCCCGGCCATTTTTTTCCTGCGTTTCAAGGATTCCCTATAACGAAAATCCTTACATCATGAGAGGACCTGGAATCCTCCTGGTAATTCCAAATCGCAACGTCAAGCCAATTAAAAAATTTCTGACATCGCACCCGACAAAACAAGTTTTTGGAATCGAGCTTGAAAAGGGTTTGCATCGTACAACAGTGGTTCTTGTACCTCGCCGTTGGGGACGCGCGTCAAGTGAAACTGTGGCCGTATCGCAACTGGAGGGGCCACATCATAACTATCTGGGCTTAGCCGAACTTATCGTCTCGAGGGGGAGGGGATGGGGAGGTCGGGGAATTAATAATCCTGCCCCCAGACTTTCGGATGGAGCCCAATATCTGAACCTGATGTGACATACTGAAATGGAGTTGTGACGTCTCTTGTTAGTTTAGTTTTGCTCGGTTTGGTGTAGTTTGGCTTAGTTTGATTTGTTTTAGTTTAGTTTAGTTTAGCTTGGTTTGGTTTAGCTTGGTTTGGTTTAGTTTGGCTTAGTTTGGTTTAGTTTAGTTTGGTTAAGACTTAAGTTGGTTCGTTTAGATTTGTTAATTTTGTTTTGGTTCATAATATCCTAACAAGGAAGTGAACCCTTTCTGGACCTCGACTGAGCCCCCTTGCGAGCAGGAAGGAATTGGCGAGTCTCATGTATGTGGCCCCTCCAGTTGAAGAACAGCCAAAACTGTTAATGAATCCGTTCATGATGGAACGTTTGGGGTGTTAATGCAACGCCGGCATACTTTTACCAGATGCTCATGATAAAAAATTGTATTCCGGGTCTACAGACCGACACGTTTCGTCACGAAAGACCGCGAACACGCACAGCGCTCGCCAAAACCCGCCTCGCCATTCTCTCACCAATCATTAATATTCGAATGAATGAATGAAGATTTTCCCCCTTCAGGACCGGCTCGACCCCCCCTCCCCCCCTCCCCCCCTCCCCCTCCCTCTCCCTCCACCTCCCCGGCCATGGCCCGATCGCCCTACTCGACGCTGGGCCTGAAGGAGGGCGCCACGCACCAGGAGATCCGACGCGCCTACAAGCGGCTCGCGCTCGAATGCCACCCGGATAAGAATCCCGGGATCGACGAGGAGAGATTCAGGGAGATCTACCGGGCCCAAGCCTACCTGTAAGGACCTTAACAATATTCGCAACTAAGCCCATTCTGGCTAGGTTATGATTAAATTACTTTTTTGTAATCAATCGACAGTCCTAATATAAATATATGAACCTCACGAAAAGAACTTTTACAAACCTCACACTAAATATATGAAACTGTCGACCTAAATTCGACTTTTCCAACCACCTCCTCCAGATACGACCTGTCACCTCACGTATGAAAAGCATTTCTAGCTCAGCCCCCCCCCCCCACCCCACCCTCCCGCGCCCCCTACCCCCGACTCGATACCCCCTTCGAAGTGGGGCGAAATCTTTTCCCCTTCTGACAGCCTACAGAGATTGAGCTTCGCGGAGACAGGGGCGACGCGGAACGTGAACGCGGCGGCGCACGAGCGAAAACTGAAGGAAGCGGCGGACGCCGCTTTCCGGAATTACGACGCGACCATGAGCCGGTTGACCGGACCCCGTCTCGTCGGCGAACGGGATCTCATCGACGGCGACAGGAAACTCCGGAAGGAAGCGATGAAAACTCTGGAGAAGATTGGATCGCGGTGGCCGCGACTGCTCGACAGATTCAAGGACGAGTTGGAATGCGTGCGTCTGATTTCATCCCTCCTAATTAATGAAGTGATGAGACCAAGGTAAGACGGGTCGTTTCTCGACAGCGCATGCAAGCCCAGTACTCGCAATACGCTCGAGAGAGGGCAGCCCGAGAAAAGGCGCTGGAAAAGGATCTGGACCGCTTTGTGGCCTCGGTCGCCAGGCGATACGACGCCCACCTGCGCCGATCGCGGACGGGGATCCCCGTCGCCGCGCAGGACCCGAGGACGAGACACGCCAGGTACCGCAAGGTCGCCCTCGCGGAATTCCGACGGGCGGCGTCGCAGTGGCCCCACCTCTCGAGTCCGTTCCAAGAGAAACTGAAAAAGGTCCGTCTCTCGCGATACGGCCCAGGGATTCCACGCCGTGCGCGAATCTTTCTCTTTTTTCTCCCGCAGCTTCTCGATCACGCGTTCGAGAAGAACGCGAGAGCCGTCATTTTGGAAGCCGCCTTCAGGCGATACGAGGACCGGATGAGCCAATTGACCGGGGGTCATCTCATCCTCCAGCAGAACCTCATTGCCGTGGAGAAAATGCTCCGGGAGGAAGCCCTCGACTCCCTCAAACAGAAGAGACCGACCTGGCTGGAACTTCCGAAGAAACTCACGGATGACCTAGAAAAAGTACAACTCCCTTCGTTCCCAACTCCCAGACTCGACTCATTCGAATGGATTCTCTCTCCTCCCTCCCCCCCTCCCCTTCCCCTCGACAGCGCATGCAAACCCGGTGCGAGGATTTCGTGCTCGAGCGGAACGCGAGGGAGCGAGCAGCGGAAGCGGATCTGACGGCCGCAGTGGCCTCGGCCGTCGGCGATTACGACGCCCGGATGCGCCGATCGAGCGAAGGAGCCCTCGTCACCGGACGGGAGCTGGCGGAGAGACACGAGGAACACCGCAAGCTGGCTCTAAAAGCTTTCTCGGAGGAAGAATCGCGATGGCCCTTCATCTCGAAGCGATTCAGGGACCAACTCGAAGAAGTAGCAACCACTTTACCTCCCCGCGATTTCTCCCTCGTGCCGACGATCGCTCCCTTCCTCTCCCGGCAGCGCTTGGAAGCCCGTTACGAGGTCCACGTGCGAGAAAGGGACGCGAGAGAGGACGCTGTGGACGCAAACCTCCGCGAGGCCGTGGTCGCTTCCGCCTGTCGATACGACGCCCGGATGACCCGACTGGGTCGGGGAGTCTGGATCGGCGAGCGGGAATTCGCGAAAAATCATAAAGAATGCCGCGAGGAAGCGCATGCAGCTTTCTTGGTGGACGAGTCACGATGGTTGCATCTCTCCAAGAAGTTCCAGAACGAGTTGGATCGGGTTCGTTACTTTTTGCCCTTCATACCCCTAGGTGATATTGCTTCGATATCCTGCGGTATCCGCACAGTAGCGACGTGTGATGCATGGCACATGGGGAAAGCAAAGAAACGTCTTCATCGTCTAATTTACGGGAGCGGTCCATTTCATCGGCCGAGCAGCAATAGGTTTTTAACGGGGAACTGGAATTCCAGTGGATGAAAACACTCCTGGAAACCCTGGCGACCGCATTGACTTATACGAGCGGGAATCGAATCGGAAAGGGAGACGTCGGAGTATGGGGGTGGGGGGAGGAGGGAGGGGGAGGGGGCGGAGGCGGGGGAGGAGGCAGAATGGACTCTTCCACTTGTTCCCTTGCATCATCCCCTATCGGGGATGATACCAGGTGGTTTTCTCCTTATAATAGTCAGTTCCGTTCGGCTCTATTGGGCGCGAGAAGAATTTCAGATTTTCTAAATGTCAATCTTGTCGACCGAGATTCGTGGACTTTCCCTGTCTCTTCCTGGGGCAAAGGAATCCGATAGCAGAGAATTCACTCCGAATCAGACGGTTTCCCTCCCGCTTTCCCCTGTCGTCGCGCATTAAGCTAATGTCATGCATTCTCATCCTTTCAGTTTGTTATCGACGAAACTTACTTTCTGGCAGCTCATAGGCGAGGCGTACGACAGGCACAAGAGAAACCGAGACGCGAAAGGGAGAAGAGCGGAAGAAGAACTGACGGAAGCTCTCGCATCTGCCGTCGAGCGGCACCGGGGCCAGCTGACGCCATTCCTAGAAGGACCCTCGCTGATCGGCTGGCAAGAGCTGAGGACCCGACACTTGTCGTGTTTCCAGCAAGCCCTTGGAGCCTTCTCGCAGGGAACTCGGGGGTATCCCTACCTCTCCAGGATATACCGGACCAGGCTGAAGCAGGTGAATCTCTCTTTCGTCGATGCGACATTTCTGTCGACTTAGTTGCACACTCTTAGGAAATTCCGATCGTTTAGGGAGTAAAAAAGTGAGCACACTGTGAGCTTTTCAAATATACACTCTTATCACTCAACAAATGCTCCTTCAACGCTCGTTGTAAAGTGAACATCTTGAAGTTCTTCGCGGCGCCACTAGTTGGAGGTAAGGGTCTCGCTTCTCGCACAGTACACGAAAGTTCCCTTCCTTTTTTCTCTGGAATCGTCCCGAGCAGGATTGTTTAGTACCTTGCCATACGTCTCGCCTAGTCTCATTATGGGAATCAATAAACACGGACACTTCATCATTTGTTATCCACATATTCAAGAAATATTCATAGAGTCCAGGCCGTAAACAAGCTCATATTAATGAAGAGAGCCCTTTTGAAAGAGAAAAGATCTAGAATACCGCGGGGATATCCGTGAAATCAATTCAATCCCTTCCTTGACTTGATGAGGGAACGAAGATTTGCAGGAATGACATCGCGGACACTTCATGGAACCGAATGAGGTGGTCCACCCTCTTGACATGTACTGTATTCAATACAGTCAAAGGTAGGTCACAATGCCTGCACTGAAGAAAGCGAGAGGATTAGCGTTTATTCCATGACAACCCTATCTCTTTCTGAGGGGAGCGGTTTTAACTCATGGAGGAGGTAACAATGTTACTCCTTGGTGATGGAGCAAATTCGCTCATTTCTTAGAGTGATAAGGGAGTGAAACTGGAGTTAGTTCTTTCAGTCTAAAAAGATTTCTCCTAAAAATCAAGCCTTGGCGACGTCCATTTCTGGCACAGAAAATGATCAAGTACCTGAATGTGATAGCTATTCCTTGCATCTGTAGAGATGTCGATATGTTCCTTTTATTTGTTGAAAATATAAAGAGTATCACGATCATTAACTTTTTGAAAAATTGCGTTTAAGCTTTCTCTGAAGACTGAATTTCATTGATCCATGGAAGGGCATGACTGAATGAATGACGGAATGAATGAAAAATACATCATCGTCCTGAGCTCATGAGTACGGCTTTCATCCATGAAGAATAAGAATTATGAAGTAATGTGAAAACAAATTTTCAATCGCTTTTTATGGCGAAATGGAGCATCGCATACAGCAAAAAAAAAAAAAAAACATTTTTCGTCATCTACGAGTTAATATCTTTCTTATGATTGGTCTCTTTTTTCCGAAGACCTCCCAGGAGTGCCTAGCCAGGGGGGGGGGAGAAAAAAAAAACGGAATGAAATTGGCATCTTCAATAAGGGAGATTCAGTTTTCTTCACAACCCGGGGGAGATAGAACTTCAAATTTGCTGGAGCGATTCTGTATTGAGATGGGAAGATGTATATGTAATGTATTGAGATGGGAAGGAAAGAAGAATCAATAGGCGCTACCGTGCCTATTGATTCTTCTTCCCTTCCGCATGTTCTCGGAGTAATTTCCAGCCCCTGAAAACATATTCATCGCGGGACCTGGTGTGTCAGATGTATTACTTTACCAAACTCGTGAATGTGTAATGTCCGATTGACTCCAAGGATTATTGCAAGTTGGAATCCACTATTTCTTGCATCACTGAAATAAGATATCCCACGCTGCAGTTAGATAAGAAACTGTTTTGCTTATCAGAAGTAATTCCCTTCTGAGGGAAAAGAGCAAAGGGACGCGATGTAAGAATATATACATCTCTGTTTTGAACGTCTCCAGGATTACGTTCTTCCGATCCGATAGATCTTGCACAGCAAATATGAAGAATACAAGGAAAGACGCTCAACTGCGGAGGAAGAAGCGGAGTTCCAGCTGGAAAAGGCCTGCAGCAGCGCCGCCGAGGAATACAAGCGAAGAAGGACCCGCTTCTACGGAGCGGCGGCGGTGGACTGGAGGGCGCTGCTCGCGGATCACCAGGACCAGGCGAGAGCGTCGCTGGACGCCTTCCGCTCTCTCGCCCGCGGTCAGGCTCCGTGGATCGCGAAGGAATACGAGGTCGTCTTGGCGAAGGTGCGTCCTCCTGACCGGTTCAATTGCTGTCGTTTCCGCGCGACGGCGGAATTTTCTCTGAGCTCTGCCTCCGTCTTCGCAGACCCTCGACACCTGGCACGATGAACTGGAGGATCGCATGGCACGGGAGCGGACGAAGAGAAAGAAGAGATCTCTCATCACTCTCCCCGTGACGATCCTCTTGGCAACAGCAGCCGCAAACGCACTAACGAGTACTGCGTTGGGGAATGCGGCAGTCGTCGGAATTTTCCTCGCGTGTTGGCGGTTGTCTCTTGGAATCGCGGATTCAATGAAGAAAGGAAAGCCTGTGGACAGTTTTCCCAAGACTCCGAGTTGGACATACCTCAGAAAAGGCTTCAATTTCCAATGAAGGCGAAAATTCCCCAGTCTTTGCTCTTGCCCTATTTCTTGAGTATTTTCCTAGGTGTCAGTTGTTTTCGAATTCATTGTTTCTTTGAGACGATCCCCCTCCAGCAACACGAGTTTCATGCAGTACTGCATCCTCTATTGTAATCTCGGGAAAAATGGTTTTTATCCCATCCAGTATGTCATACGGCACATATTTTAAACTGAAAAGCAAGCTACATATCTAGCACATTTATCTAACTTTTTTGCTGCATTGAAAACAGTATGAAAGTATTGAAAACACTACAGCCGTCCGGTGCTAGCTGATGATGAGATGCAGAGAAACGTTTCTGCAGTTGTATTTTTCCGAATCTGAACTATATTTTTATGGCTCAAAAGGCCATTCTCCACAATGAACTTATTTATCCTATGGAGAAAGAGTGTTTTTTTTTTTCCTGGCTTCTTTTTTTTTTCATGGGCCCCCTTTCCCTCAAGATAAAGAGCCCATGCATCGTCTCGTCCCGTCTGCCTCTTTTTTTTTTCTTTTTTTTTCGTCTTTTGCAAAAAAGATGCTCTGCTGTTGTGGTCGAGCTCAGAGAGTTTTTTTTTCCATCAATCGAGTTCAGGTGATGCAGGAATTGGCGTCGAAGGAATCCCATAGGAATCTTTTTGGATCCTTTAAGAATCCAATGTGATTTTAATGCTACAAAATCTCATAGGATCCTATAAGATTTATTCGTGAGGGTGCCTTCGATGCCATGAAAATACATCGAGATATTTCCTTTCGTTAGCATTTCATTAAAATTGATATATTTAACGGAACGAGAGCTCTACTGCTTTGAAACCTGTGCAATACTTTCTGTGCCCACCCAGTATTTATTTTGTGCATTCCTTAGAAGGAAACACCAATTCAATCTCGACTCTTGCCGAGAACTATGAGCTCATTGAAAGTGAATTCGACCGGTCGGAGGTAAGGGGAAGCAACCGGATCCCCAGTTTCAGGTGGGAGCGCTCTTCCCACTTTTCGCCCATTGAGCACAGGGTGGTCCAAAAGTCACGATCGGATGAAATGCATTGGCCATCAGTTCTATAAGCAACATCTAATATACTGCATATAGGCGATCGTGACTGAATGAGTGAATGATTGTAATTCTATCATGTTCAAGAGAAGCAATAAATCTGAAACTTGGTACACAAGTGGCTATTGAGATGCAGAGTTCAGAAAAAATCAGACTTTTTGAGGTGTATGCTCTGGAGGCATACATTTTGGGGGAAAATATTTTCAAATAAATATTTTTGCTTCAGTCGAATGGAAAGACATGAAAAGCTGAAACTGGACATGAACTGAGACTGAGAGAGTTTAAGAAACATTTCAAGTTTCAGATGCATCCACTGGGAACATATTTTCAAACTATTACGTTTCGTCCCAACGAATGCTGCAGAAATGGAAAGGTTAAACTCGGCACCAGCATAATTGTCGTGATGTTGAGTTCAAGGACAAGGAATAAAAACGTATAAGCTTGAAACTTCTTGGGCAAGTAGTTCTCAGAGTTGTGATTCCTGTAAAAATTGTAATTTTTGTGTAAAACCCCTCAGGGCACATTTTTTTAATTTAGCAATATGCCCCATTTCTTCAAATCTTTCTCGATTCAGCAAGGCAAAGGGCGATAGACAGTTGAAACCTGGGGCAGAAGTGCCCCATGCATTGCTGAGTAAAGAAGAAATCCTACATATAAAAGTAGGATTTTTTCTTTACCTTTACCTTTCCGACATGTCTCCTCGGGGTGGATTATGGGAGGGATTTCAAGATGTATATTTTCGGCTCAGCCAAAAAGGGGCACAATAAGATATTTGCCGTTAGGCACATAACAAATCATGCAAGTAATGACCTCGATAAAAATCTCGGTAAGTTTTTGGCACTTCAAAAAGGAGTTAATGATTTAATGACAATCCGAGATAATGGAGCGCCGAAGGCTCGACCCGAGCGAGTTTGTTTGCCCGAAGGGAAACTATCAAACTAACTCCATAGTTCAATAATAATGTATGTACAGTTAAAAATGCAATATTTTCTGCGTAGTTGCCATCATGCGTGCGTTCGTGTATATGACGATAATGTTGGGCCCAACAGAGTGAACATAATGGATAAATGCGCGATCTGTGGGGAACAGTCCAAACTTACATAATAGGGGAAAATGGAAATAATGAACTTAAACCAATTCCCTTGCAATAAAGCCGATACGATCGTGACTTTCGGATCACCCTATAGTAAGACCATCGAGAGATATATCAATTGAGGGATTGGCATCGCGTCACTGGGGATTTTGGCGGAGAGCGTACGTTAAGCATGCTTAGGATTATCCCGAATCGGTGAACACATATACATGATCGTTGATGCCTTTACGTTCGACTTCAACGTAAAAGCTGACTTATAGCCTGCCCAAATAGCCTAAATAGCCTTATTTCCTGGTTTTGCACTCATGTTGGGCAGGTTTCGCTCTGAACTTACTCAGAAATGACACGGTCAGCAGAATCCTTTCGATTCCGCGAGGAAATCCAAGGAGATTCTGCAGGCTCATGCCAACATAGTGAGCATTTAGGCAATTACTCGGTCCTATTTGGGGCATGCATCTCGGATCGTTTAAATTTGTGCCAATTTCATTCGACTTCGAGAACCTTACCACCGAAATCATGTTAAGCATCGTGTGAATTTCTGTCCAAAGAGAGGAAGGCAAAATCGAGGCAGAAGTTTCACTTGCAAAGGCACGATCTGCTGCAACTAGAAACAAAACAAAATCCGACTATCACATCTTGGCCTCTATTAGCACTGCACATAGAGTGGCCGATTTCAAGCCCAATTTTGCATTTCATTCAAGTTGGTATTGCCAAAACAAAGCCATGTTATGATAATTCTATGATAATGATATGATAAACAAAATAAATCTAATATCAGAAATGGGAGGGGAACTCCAAACCCTTCTGAGTGCATAGTCCTCCTGCCTCATTCTTTGATGAAGACCGTTGGAAAATCGGAATTAAACAATGACAAATTATTTAGATTTTAATGACTTTGTATGATGAATTGTCCATTCCCCAGTGTTGCCGGATACCATGCCGGATTTACGTCAGATTCAGCAATTATAAGAGGTAAATTCTAAGTCTGGATTTTCTTTTTTTTTTAATGTGTGAGATGTTTTCGCACTAACTCCACTAGATGAGCTGAGACTGGAACGGTGGTCGATGGATGAAGTGGGATATGGAGATGTCCGCTCCGGACATCCCTGAATCAACAGGATGGCGTCCTGCTTGTTTCTCATGCTTCTTGGAGGCATTTTCTCTTCAGAATTTTAACGTCTGAGTTGCACGGCCTCTGAAATGTATCGTGAGAGACTGCATGGGCCGAGGATTCACCAAAATTCACAGGTCCTCGACGACGGGCCTCGCGTCTGGAAGATCAGGTAATAATCTTCATGGGCCTAGTTGGCCCCGTAAGTCGAGGATTGAGTTTCATTTGAATGAATAATGGTAGGCCTAAGCCCAACTCGAACACAGGCCAACTTATGGAGGGATGTGCTTTTTTTCTCTATATTGTTGTAAATGATGGGACGTGGTCATATCAGTTCTTGAGGAGGTATTTCTTAGGGAGCTTCATCCCCTCCTTGATAAGGCCTAACATTTAGGGATGTGGGAAGGACTTCCCGAAAGGGAGAAGCTACAGTTGTTTCAGTGAATAATCAAGCTGTAGTTTAAGCATGTATCATGGGAGATATCAGTCATGGGTGACTAATTAGTGTATCCAAGTGTGACATTAGGTCTTCAACTGAAAATTTGGGAATGCTTGGAGTGGAGTAAACCCAATGGGCTGGAATGTCTTCTGTGGAGTTCTAGCTAATACAAGGAGTAAATGAAGCCAGCATCTTGAGAATAATTTTGAAGGGTGTTTAGGCATTTCATCTTCTTTGAGAACTAGTCATCTGGGAGTCAAGGGTCATGGACAGGATGCAGGAGAGAGACGTGAAAACATGTACAGTGAAAGTATGAAAGGTATTGTGTGACTTACATCCAGCATTCCTCCATACTTCATCATAGACAAAGGTGGGGCCTAGGGGTGAATCCAGTGAAGCTGACTTTAGGACTAGGGGTGGCTGGCAGTTTGCTAGTGTCCAAATATATAAAGTACTGGGTGTATTTCTCTGACATTTTGCAGCCATGCCATGCTTTTTGCTGCTGGATTTCTGTGCACTCTTTACTGAGTTATTGTGCCACTCCCTACATGAACTTGTGATCTTGTAGGTTCTTGTGTTTTTTGTTTGTTCTCTAAGTTGAACTGGATTGTCTTTTTCACCCTTTCTGCCTTGTATGGAAAGCAGCTTGGAAGGTTGAGGTCCTTTGTTTCCACCCTCCTTGGTTTTGTGATTTTAGAGTTTAATTGGACTGTCTCCAATCTTGTAGTTGCCTATCATATCATTGAAGAATAGCATTTCTCAATATGAACTCAGTTTATATCTAACAATCATTGGCCCTCAGTTATTCTATTTAATCCCAGGGAATTCTGCTATCAACCAGTCTGATATGAAGCCTTCATTATATACTCTCATTTTATAACCCAAAATGTTTATGCATATTTGAATACATTTTATTGACAGAAAAGGCTAGACCTTTAGGAAAGAGGTTTTACATTATGGAAATGGAGAATGTTGGCATGAAATGTTATATGATAAGCAGATAATGAACTTCATTTCTGTTTTCCATCCATATATTGTTATCTTTCACTTAAGAATTGAAAAATGGGTTCCTTCACCTGAGAGATTCCATGATTTCTGGTATAGAAAATGGTATAGAATCTTCCTGTATGCTAATCCAATCCACCATCAGCTTTCCCTTACATCCATACCTTATCCATCAGACCTAAGCCTATGACAGATGTCTGCCATGCTTTGGCATTAGGACCTTTTCTTTGTTACTCTTGTCTTCCGCCTTCTGCCCTTTACATCCTACCATGCTCCTATATGACTGCTAAGTTGCCCAAGTTACCAAGTCCTCATTGAAAAGGAGAGTTCTTATGGAAGGGACAATGTAGGTTAGTGTTTGAAAATTGAATTTTTTCATGGCACCAGCTAACAGTATGCTGCACACTTTCAGGCCAATACCTATCAAATGGGGTTTAACCCTTTCAGACCCGAATTAAGGCCACTATCAGAATAATGTACTTTTTTGCATTTTTCAGCTCTTTTGCTATTCTACTTTAAATTTGTATGCTCTATATATCGTTTTTATATTTTGTATAAGTTTATCATATCATACCATGTATTATATATTATGCATGTAATTACATAACTGAAGACTACAAAACTGACGAGTGAGAGAATCGAATGCCGCCAATGGAATTGAGCCATGCAGAATTGTGCTCATTGTCACATAATATGGGGTGCAAAGTCATGAGAATGCCAAGAAATTACCTTAGACACAATGAAAATGCTATGTCCATTGGATTGGATGCCAGGTCTGAAAGGGTTATATGTATTTATCTTTCAGATAGTCAGGCCTTTGTAAACAAGAGGGAGGACTTATGAGGGCTGATTATAGCTTGCTGACCACTGATGTATGTGGTACTTTATTAGTTATTACTACTATACAATACTATACAAGTTATTCTAAAATTTGATCTTCATGAAATGTAGGCCTATTTATGCACTATTTATAGTCTCACTAACATGACCAATAAGGGATACTATTCATATTAGCAGTTTGGGGATTGAACATTAACTCTTATTTTGTCTTCATATTGATGCTCAAGCATTTTACTATGAAATGCTGGAATATAAAATCAACTTTTTATAATATGATGAAGTTGGGAACCTTCATATTTTACTTTAACTTCCAGAAAACCTTATTTATGTCATGCAATTGGAATGTGTGGAAAACCTATATGTTTTATAGTATTGGTATAGGTAATATACTGGTAACTGAAAGTTGGGTGGAATGGTGCCTGTAAGCGTATACCCACCCCATCTGGGAGGGTTTAGACACTGAAGCTTGTCTGAGTTGAATTTTTCAGATTTAGCAATTGGGCATGGATGCCAATGCTAGGACCAACTTGAATCCCTGATTAATGTTCATAATTTGCTTTTCAATTCATTTTCAAGATCTTTATTCACCACACTCTTGGACATGCAGAGTTGAGATTGCCTTGCTCCTATGAATGTATATTTATTTTCCAAAAGGAAATTTTTTTGTACTTGGCAAAGGTTCTGAAGTTTATATCAGTTGCAAACATTTCATGATTTTAACAACATTAGAGCTCTTTTTTTGAGAGGGAACCCATGTTTCTTTCTGACATGTACAGAAATATTACTTTTGCATCTCTTCTGGAATATTCATTTTCTAGAAGATTAGTTTATTTTCTCGTCTATTTTTGAGTCTGTCCAATGTACCTGGATAGGTGTGTGCTTGTCATGTCTTTCCTTCAAGCTCTCTAAGAATTCCTCTATGATGATGAAATTTGGATCTCTGTAGGAAACCTCTTCAAGATTGGTCAACAGGTTTTCAGTTAGAGATAGACCTAATTATCCAGCAAAATAGAGCTAATTAATGTGAGGTAAATAGAAGTTCTTGACTGAAATTTTAAAAGCAATGTTCTGGAATGAAAGGCACTCCTAAGTCCAGATAGTTTCAGTCTCATGCTCCTACATGTTCATATATAAAGTCATGCAAGCCTTACACATGAACCCAGCATACATAGGTCTTGTTTTACTGTCAATCTTCAGTCTAATGAGACCATCATGTTCATTGGCTTGCTCTCGACAATTCTGCAACGTTCTAATGCTGGAATCATACAAGTATTCTTTCTGCTCACTAGCCTTTCTTGGAGGATCAAATTCATCTCATTCATGGCTCCCAAATGCCTTTCTTAAAGGTCTGTTTTCTGATTTTCAAATAGTCTGAGTCATATCCAGACTTTGTTCTAGATTTATGGGTCCAACTGGCTACTGCATGTTTGCAAATCTAAAAAAAAAAACCTTCAAGAGTGGCGTTTTGGTTGCTAGAATAGCTGGATAGCTAGGTCATTGGTATGGTTCCGATCTTAGAATGTTGCATGATGGTTAGGAGCATGTCATTAGGCTTGGAGGTCTTTAGACTAAAGACTAATAGGAAAGCAATACCTGTGCATGCATGGTTTCTTAGTGACACTGAGAACTTCTTGGCTTTGGAATGGATTAGATGGCGAAAGTGTGTACATATTGTCTCTTAAGTTTTTCAACAGGGCAATAATTTCTCTCCAATTTTCACACCACTGAATCAAGTGAGGCTTTTTTCATTTCTTTTAGAAAATAGAATATGCTTGGTAATTTCCAGGTCGTCTGCATAATTTTTTAAATTCCAGCTGAGGGTATATTTATTTATTCTGTGGATAAATAATAATAATCAGCAAAATTATAAGTACAACATTTAAAAGTGTAATGTTAGCCTTGAGTTCTAGTGAATATTCAATTGTATTTCCCTTAAATAGAAGTATAGGGACCATTATCTATACACAGCTCGTGTACAGTAAGGAAACGAGGAAAAACGGTCTAGTTACCAGTCCAAAACAACCCTCAAATCCTCCGAAGTGATTACGGAATTACAGATATTTTGAAGACCACCCGATATTGATGCATAGTATTTCTCTGAAACGGTTGGTGTTTGAGATTTTGGAGCACATCGCTTGATTAGCGCTGTTCAGCGTGAGAATGCAGGCATCAACGGTTTTGATGCCTGTATTTGGGTATTTGTGGTTTAGGCACGTTCAATGACCACTACGCAGTGGTCATTGAACGTCCCCATTTTGGGACTCATTGATGAGTCTTCTTTTTGTATTTGAAGGAGTGAATTAGGGTAATTTTGACTATCGATAGCTAATCCAAGGCCAAGGAATGAATAATAAATAAAAGTAATAATTTTGGCAGTATGTGCCTTCCCATTTAGGTATATGATGGTGCCAAGCCTTCAAAAAGCTGTCGGGCGATAACGTGCGGCCACCGAATCCCCAATCATGGCTAACTATTCCGAGGGTATGCCCGAGCGCGACCCTGGGTTTTTGGGCGACCGGCCGCGGAGGCCGACCGGCGACACAACTGCGGAGCAGAGCAACCCCTCAGGCGAAAGCACATTTGAGTGCAGCATTTGCCTCGAACCTCCTACGGAACCTGTCGTCAGTCCCTGCGGACATTTGTTCTGGTGAGACTCAAGCGGCTTAGGTCTGTTCTTGGAAATCAAATCCAAAAATAAAAGTATTTTCGATGCCATGATCCTCGCATATCAATTGAGATAAAAACTTTCTTTGAAGTTTGCAAAAAATTGTGCATCTCCCTTTTGCCAAAGCACTGGTCGGTGGCATGTAAGTTGTTTAGTGCAGGGAAGGAAATTCATTAAGTGATGTTGTCCAGCATGTGGTTGGCAGCATGTAACTCCAGAGGAAAGAGAGAGGTTTTTTTTTTTTTAGCGGCAAGTCTTGGTCCTGGTCTTCAGAAAGAAAGATTAGGGGATTTCTAATAAATTAATATGTAATCACTTTAAAATGGTCCATTTCTTTTGAAAAAATGGATGGACATCATATTTGTGACCAAAATGGATTTCCTCCTCTCGCGATGCCTAAATCTGTTTTGGGCGATTGTGTTCCAGTCGCCAATGTCTGTACCGGTGGATGGAGACGTCGCCCAACCTCGTCCCATGTCCCGTGTGCAAGGCCGGCATCAGCAGTTTCATTCGTCTGTACGGGATGAAAGATACCAGGTTAGGCCTGCACATAGTGTTATGGATTTTGAAGCTGTTACGATGAAATGCGGGGTAATATTAAACGTTTTCAGAATGTAGGTAGGAGTTTTTCACGTTTATGCTCCGGTTTCTATGACTCGTGAAAATCGGTCGATGACTTTATGAATCGTCTGAAGCTTGTCATTCAGGCCTAGGGTTGTCATATTGAGATCTATTGATGTGATATGTTCGGTAGGTTGTTACTTGTGATTAGACAGATTGAATATATTTTCCATTTTGGTGAAGTTATTCGTGTTTTTTGATGGTACAGGATTTTTGACTCACTCTGTAGGTTAAAAATTCTCTACCTCGTAGAAATATGGAAACTCCCCTTCATATCAACGTATCTAAATACTCTAGGTTTTCCAGCATAATTCATAACAAAAGGAGAGAGGCTTATCCCCCGAAATTGCTGACATGCCGACGACCAGGTCAAATATCCCTGAAAAATATATATTCGACAATGTCATCAAATCGCGATTAAACAGATTCTTGCAAGTCTGTCGTCATAAGGATGATTTCCTATGTAACTGTGGCTTATTATATGATGAACTGAAAAGCAATGGATTTGAAGATTGGTTCCTGAAAATTATTACTTTTTACAGTGCACAAGAAAACTCCCAGTTTCATTATGTTAAAGAAGGCCGTTAGAAGACGGAACTTAGCCGGTTCTTTCGCAAATGAACCTTTCGTGCTCGGCTTGCCGTTCCGCTGGATGGCTAGCTTCCACTCTTATGGACTATGGCTTGCCTCTGGGTCATAGGCCTGGGTTATTCCCTGGCCCAAAAGAGTTTTCAGGAAATGGCAATAGCTAGTCGCCTTCTTTTATTGACTGTGTCTTTCCTCTTCCACTGCCTTCTCTTTCCCATTCTTTTTTTCTTGTTTTATGTCGATCAGGGGGCACTTAAGACAATTAGTTTAAGTTTACGTCCACAGGCTCGGATTGCAACGCATAGTTCAATTAACTCCATGAATTCTCCTAATTTTGTGAAAATTTCTATTTCTCCACTCTTTTCTCAAGGAGCCATGGTTTGTAGAAAGTGCTTTCGAGCACGGATCCCCCAAAACAATATATTTATATCTGACGAATGCCGGCTGTTTGCTCTCCTGAGCTTCATGAGCGCATAGCTTCGAACTAGGTATTTATATGCGGTTTATAATACGCTAATATATGTTTGTAAGCCGCGCTGTTACGACATGCTAATATATATCCTGGCATTTTACGCATCGTATGAAAGATAATAGTCAGTAGGTGTGCATGGAGGAATCAGATTTGAAATAGCATCAACCGAGGAGGATTTAGAAGCTATCACATTTTTCACAACTATCCTACCCCGACTCTACCCGGGGTAGGATAGTCGTGAAAAATGTAAATGTAAGATGGCCTGCACGGGTCGATTTTCCGGTACCCGACTCAAGTCATGGCCCGCACCCGATCGGAAACCTGAATTCCAACCTAACTTCACGGCCCGACCCGACCCGAGCAAAAATTGATCGATTTAACCTATGCTTCCCTTTGTTCTTTCTCATCATTTCAAGTTGCTTTGCAAAAGCAGGAGGTTATCGAAAGTCGACTGACTGGATAAATTTTCTATGAAAAGAAACGGCTTAACAGATTTCGATCTGGAGTGGCACTAACTGCCTCACCCGTCAAAAAGTCTTCCTTCCTTCATTTATATTTATAGTCTAGCAATATAGTATTTTCATTCTCTCAGATTACATACATGAATAAAATTTCAGTCATGACATATCCATGATCTCAGTCCAGAGGAACGATACCATTTAAATGGTAAAATTCTGTCCGACTCGACCCGACCCTAAAAAGGATCCAGAAAATTTCTTCCCCTGGGGCTTGGGATTCGACTCGGGTTGGACCACACCCGAGCAGAGCTCTAATCCCCGTTCCTGCAATTGCGAAAACAACTGCTGTTATTCCCATGAAAATAAACTTGGAATTTTTTCTTTACCTCCTGGAATGAAATACGGGACTACAGAGCGGCATTGGTTACTCAATTGTGGAAAGTCGTAACATGGTGGGCAGGTCGCGTAAAAATAGCACCTTAACAAACGTGTGTGTTTGTGTCTTTTCGTATTTGCATAATCATGTATATGTTTGTGTGACCATTAATTCAGTGTTCAATGAAAACTTCATATAAAGATGCGAACTGGAGAAAGAGAGAAAACCTACTATGGGATTGACAATGTGGTCTCAGTTTACGATGGGCATATTAATTATCCGATGAAGATCGTCAACGGCCTCGCTCCAACTGGTCTTTTCCCCCCATAAATTTACTTTAGCGTGGTATTATCGCCATGGTCTTCAGAAACCTGAATGGCTAGGCCCAACGATGCCTCTCGAGATCAAACGGCGTCACTATCCAAGCTGTGCTGCTTTGACTATCGGCAAGTGCAAAAGCCAAACGTTCGAACGAATTTAATTTTATCTTCCGAACCATTTTTCTTCCAAATTTAGTGTTTTTTATTTCCTTGAGTGCGTGGCTTGCGTCAAGGCTTATAGAGTCTGGACCCCTATAAGGCTGATACCCAGGCAATAAATATTGATACAATACAAAGAATGTCATGTTCTAAGAGGATTTAAATTGAAAATACTGTCTAATCTTTTGAAGTCATCTACAATTTCTAAAAATTTTGCCTGTTCTTCAATAAACGTCAAGAGAGTAATATCTTATCTATAGAAATACTATTCCATAGTATAGTTCAATACATCTTTCTTCAGATCAAATACCATCAGTATTTTGAGTATTTTGTGGTTAACTTTGCAAATTGCGACATTCTTACTTCGCGCTATTTCCTAAATGCTAAAATTCTGCAAGACTGAAAAATTCGGCGTAGGGGGCCAGCAAGTTGGATCGGGTTGGGCCATGGCCAGTGCAGGGTTCCTCCAATAACAAAAACGACTACTGTTTCACCTACATATATGTACATTTTTTCTCTGCTCTCTGGAATGAAACACGGGAATGTGTCCCTCAAAAGGGAATTCCGTCACACAATGACGTCGACACCACCCGAAAAGGAAAATCATCGTAAGGCATTTGTGGCAGCCCGGTAGTTGTAGTCCTTCGGCAGCCATGAAGAATGTTCAATTTCTGCAGAGTTAGGACTGCAGGAGACCCCGTTGCCTGGGCGGATCCACGTAGGGAATGAAGGTGAACATGAGCGTTTTAATTATAACATGAGGATGTAAATAATTTACTAAAATCAGAAACTCCAAAATCCCTATTGGGTACATGATGGTTAACATGATGCGCACGACCAAGATAGCTGCATAATTATTTTCTGTTGGACACACTGATGAGTGAAGCTAACCTCCTTTGCCGTTCTGGATGGCACGCAGACACTCACTTGCTGCACAGCCGAGACGAACGCATCAGTGGGCATGTCCGGTACATTTTTCTTAGCCTTCAAGTTTTAAACTGTGTATCACGTGATACATTTGGTCACTATCGTCCAAAATGTGCACAAGCCTTCTTTCACCTATTCACATGCAGTTTGTGAAATATTGGGCCGATCAGATGATATTTATTATTATTCTTATTTTAAAAAGATGCATTAGCAGTTTTTTTTTAGCCTGTACGGCATATTTTTTTGCATATCAAATTGGAAATGCCATAGAACGTGATACAGTGCGTCAATTTTCTTAAAATTTGGCATATGCCTTCTTTCCTCTGCATGAATTGTTTAAAAAATTCAGTTGATCTGATAAAAATTTACTGCCGTTATTGGCGAAAATGGTTCGGCATTTTTTTTTAAACACCGTGTATTTAGAGGATTTGCCGAAAGTATGCTGGAAACACATCCACCCATACCCAGAGAATGTTTCGTGAAAATAGAGGGAGTCTCAAAATTAAAGTCCCAAAAGTAAACGCATGCCATTCAAGCATCGTTCAACGAAAATCCAAAAAAATTGGTACAAATATGGATTTTTACGAAATTTTTGTGTGGAATGTTCACTATTCTCAGTAGAAGCTGAATTGATTTGTTAGCAGTTTATTGAAAATGTAAGTTTTTTGGCATCCCAGTTTTTCAGCCTGCAGGTAAAGCACTTTTGATTCATGGTTCTCGTGAATTCTTCAACAGTTTGATGCTTCGAGGTAGCCAAGTGAACTAACAAAACTGTTGAATCTGGGGTCAAAGAGAATCCACGCAAAATTCAGGAATTTCCCCTTCATTCTTGACGACTCACTGTCTGGTGCGGGATGTGGAGCGAAGATCTGATTGGTCCGTTCATCTTCCAAGGAAACGTGACGAAAGACTCTTACCTCGACCTCCTGAAGAGGTTCTGAGGCCCCACGTCTGCCATCTCCCAGAGATCGACGAAATCGTCTTCCAGCAAGACCCCTAAATTTCTCCAAAGAGGTGTGGGCCCGGCTGGACGAGAGCTTTCCATATCGCTGGATTGGAAGACGTGGACCAATCGCCAGTCCCCCGAGAATCCCAGCCTTGACCCTCTGAGACTTCGTTTTGTGGAGGCATTTGAAGCAGCTGCTGTACCGGGAGTCCCGCAAGGATCTGAACTAACTCCAGAAGGCCATCGGAGCAGCTTGCGCTTCCCTGACTCCCGATTTTTTCGAAGGATGTTTGCTTTGTTTCAGGGAAAGGCTGAATCTGATCGTTGAAAATGGTGGCGAGCACATCGAATGCTCTTAATCAGTGCAGAGTTGATAACATGATTTGATAGTTTGGCCTGTAAAATTTGATGATATTCTCCATATACATGGCAATTTTTGTGGAGTTCCATCGAACGATGCTTGAAGGGCGCGCGTTTACTTTTGGGACTTAAATTTTGGGGCATCCTATATGATGGGAGTTGAGAAATATTGAACAGAAGCTGGTGGTCTTTTCTTCTCCATACGTTGTACTTGTATGTTCCAAGGGTACTCTTGGTTCCTGGACAACATTTTTTGCCATGAATAATTATGGCCGCTTATTATCTCCGCTTTCGTTATCAAAAATGCATCACGGCCCCAAAACATCAGTACTTTTTATGTTAAAGGGCACGGTGATTCCCATCCCCAATGCTTTAATTGTTCCATTCTCTTTCACCTCGCCAACTGGAAGATATTAACAAGATTCTTTATGTAAAAAGGGTTGAAAGTGACACCTGACCGTAAAAATATTATGAATTCCAAAATGGCGAAGAAACCCTTTAGGGAAGCAAATTTAAGCAATAAAAATAGAAGTAAAAAAAAAATTACGGCTGGATTTTTGAACATAGAACTATCCAATAATGCAGCTTTATTCCAGAGAAAGTACATGATATTTCCTTGAAATGAAGCTGCATTATCGGGTAGTTCTCTGTTCAAAAATCCACCCTACTTCTTATTTTTTGCATGCTTCTTTCTGGCAAGATACCAGAGATCTCCATTCCTTGTTCGGAATGGAATTCTCGGCATATTCTAATTTAGAAAAGAGAATTCCAGCTGGATTGCGAAACGAATATGAGCGTACTGGACCATCTGTTATTCTGTGCAATAGAATGGGAGTATGGTATACGGTTCATGGCCAGTAATTAAAAAAATCGCAATTTATTAGTTGAAAAGGATCGGCACAGATGAGACCGGTCTCATATTTCTCGTGGCCATATCCTACCGCATAGATTGTGCGAGGGAGATCATCTTTCCTTCCCTACAGCGCGGAAAGGTTACGGGGAAAAGAGGAAGCGGAAGAAGCGAAACTCAGGGACGCGGTAGAAGACGCGTTCCGTCAATACGACGACCGAATAAGCCGACTGGTCGGGAACCGTCTGATCAGCCAGCAGGACCTTCTCGATGCGAACGAGAAAATGCAGGAGGACGCTTTCCGCATATTATCTAGAGAGCGGTGGCAGTTCCAACAACTTCTGGAAAAGTTCAAGGAGGAATTAAAAAATGTAAGTTTTCCCTGCATAGTACTTCCTGCAGTTCAGATTCATTCAAAAAAGAATCCTCGTCGATTCCTTTGGAAGGAGAATAGGTTTACATATGCGGCCATCATTTGTTCATCAATACCGGTCTAAAAGACTTGGAACCAACCTGGCAATCCGTTCCTATGCTGCAAAGCTAAACGCTTCGTCAAAAAATGTGGTCGAAATCTTCTGTATTAGGAACCTTTGTGCTGTGAATATGTGACCCTCCTTGCAATGCTTGACCACCCTTGATGTACCCCCATGCAAAAAGGTTTTCACGAACATCGTGCTAGATTATCTAATGAGAAGTTTCCGAACCATTGGATTGGCCAAGGATCGAAGAGAATGTTAGCTTCAGGATAACATGACATAACCCCCTTGGATTTTTTTGCATGAGGTACATTAAGTCAATGGTTTATAGCACAAAGGTTCTTAATGCTGAAGATTTAAGAGATCGTGTATGCTGCTAACACCGTAATCCCTGACACGCTGAACATCTTGAATGTTCAGGGAAACAACGGATCCATTCCGTTATGTATCGATTTGGAAGGTGATCATGTGAAACATTAGTATTTAAAAATGATAACTGATTTTTTATTTACTATTATCAGTTTTATTCAGTTCATTATTGACAATGTGACGTGCACATAATGCATTTTTGTAAGAATTTTGAGTTTAATAATAACATAGATTGGCATTTCATGATCACCCTGCATAACCTTCGCGTAACTGTATCAACATAGAATGGCGGGTTGGCTCCAAGTGTCCCATTGCCGCTCACTTATTTTTGAAACTCGATAAACCATGCATGAACAAATATCCTAAGTGATTTTGAGGTGGTTCGATTTACACACATTTCTACCACTTTCAGATTAGAAAGTTGGTCATTAATTATGAAATAGTCATGTTACCAATGAAGACAGTGGGAGATTTCAAATGCTGAAAGCGTGGGGCCATATTATTAAATGGAAAATTCAAACCTCCGGGTCCTGGTCCTCGTTCGTCTTAGAGACGGCCATTTCTTTATGTTCACGACCACCGCCATTATCTGGATGCAAAACTCAAGTGAATCCCGCTGTGGGCGAGGACAAATCAATGAAACAGTTGCGGTGTTTTGAAACTATAGTAAATTGTGCAGCACAACACAGGCTGTGACCGAATTCTCATTCCGCAAAACGTAGCATTGTAATATCGATCGGTTATCTAATGTACAATCGTTTGTTTCACACATGAAACTATGTTTACACAATTTTTTGACAAAGGTTTATCCCCTCCCTTCCAAAAAAAGCGTATCCAAACTCGGTATGAGTTCTATGCGAAAAAGAGAGATGAAAGGGAGAGAGAAGCAGAAAAGGAACTTAGTTACGTTATGACATCAGCTGCCTGGGATTACGACACCCGAATGAGCCGACTGTGCGAATCAGCCTCCATCAGCGAGCAGGAGCTGAGACAGGGACATGCAGAATATTGCAGGCTGGCGATCGCAGCTTTATTGGAAACGGGATCACAATGCCCACATCTTTCCACGAAGTTCAAGGACGAGCTGGAGAAGGTAAATTTCATTTCATCCCGAAGGGCATGGACATTGAGCCTATGATGGAATGACCCTCTTGCTCCTCCAGCTCCTAGATGACAAATGCGAGGCGAGGATGAAAGAAACAAGGGAGCTTAGAAGCACAGTGGACATAGCCTTCAGGCAGTACGTGGTTGTCATTGAGCCTATGATGGAATGACTCTCTTGCTCCTCCAGCTCCTAGATGACAAATGCGAGGCGAGGATGAAAGAAACAAGGGAGCTTAGAAGCACAGTGGACATAGCCTTCAGGCAGTACGTGGTTGAGATGAGCCGATTAACCGGAGCTTATCTCATCAGCGAGCGGAACCTCATCGAAGCAGACAAAAAGCTTCGGAAAGAAGCATTGGAAGTCGTCGCCAATACAGAATCACAATACCCCAGCCTCTTGAAGACATACCAGGATCAACTTGAAAAGGTGATTCAGGGTAGTGTGTGAGTCAGGGTAGAAGAGGGCAGAAGTAGACAACATGTTCCAGTGGGTATCCCATTGATCGAAAATGAAAGTTGTCGATCGTCTATAATGTGTCCTGTTTTTGAGGTGCCCTAAATATTTGTTACTGATAGGGTTCACAAAAGATTGGAATTCATCCCCGCTAGGTTCAATAACTTGAATTGCAGCTGGAATAACGTAACAAAGTGTCCCCATTTCTTGGCGATTTCACTATTTATAGGCGAAAGAAGAAAACGTTAATAATCACAGAAACCTTGCCAGGGAAAGCCCCTATCAATTCATACTGCACAGCACCTCCTAATTTCATTCCATTCCCGCGTTGCGAGGCCATTGAACGCATCATACCCTTTTCGGTTCGTTAAATATTAAATGTCTCGTCCTTCTGACAGCTCATAGACGAGGAGTACGATAAGCAGAGGAGAGCCCGAGATGCGAAAGCGAAAGAAGTGGAAATGGAACTCATCGAGGCCGTCCAGCTCTACGATGGCCGAATGAACCGATTCCTGGAAGGCCCTTCCCCGAAGGAAAAGAAGGAGCTATGGACTCGACACTTGGAGTATTCCCAGCACGCCCTTGGGACGCTCTCAGAGGGGAGGATACGAGACCCCCACGTTATAAAGCGTCATTTCAACGCATTGATTGAAGTGATTCTCGTCATTCTCACCTTCGGTTCCTGAGAAGGCAAAAGTCATACTGTAAAAAATATGCGAGGATTTGTTTCGAAACTGGATTTCTCACGTTCATCGCTCCTATTCTAAGACTTGGAGTTCCTGCCGGTAATTTAAAAAAAAGAGATAGATGCGTCAATCCTTTTAAATTTATTTTTGAATAAGTTTCCTTACCATGTTCCTTATCATGTTTTTTCCACAAGCGATCTTTTTTAATTATCATTTTGCCATTGCTTTTTTAAATGTTCTATTATCCCATGAGACATACTTTGAAACATGACCTCTCTTCGCCTAGTAACGAGTAGTACTTCTTACAAGGAGCTGAAGTATCAAGCGCAATTTATGATTAACTCAAAGAAATGCATTAGGTTAATACGTGAAGTATACGATGAAGATCCTTAACTATACTTTAGTTCTCTTGACCCTAGAAGACCAATATATGCACACAATATATTTTATGATTCACGAGAAATACCCAGATTGTTTCAAGTAATTGAAAAATCATGCCAAACTATGCCGATTTGATCACTTTCTAATTAATTGATTGTGTTGATATTTCTTCCCCAATATTCCAATGTGAAGAATACACTATTTTTTCCGTTGTGTGATGATCATTATGCAAAAATGTTTAAGCCATAATTTGTCTTAAATTAAAAGGTTCGACTAATCTTAATAATTTTTAGTACTTTCCCATTAAAAGGCGATCGCTTCCCTTTTTTTTTATGGAACTACCTGTGCATACCAAAGCCTCTACACATACTACTAATATCCATGTCATTTTCTTTTTCTGACGTAGGTATTGGCTCAAAAGCATGCCGAGAGCGAGGAAAGACGTCGCGCTGCAGAGGAAAGAGCAGAGTTCCAGATGGAGAAGGCGTGCTGGAGCGCCGCTGAAGAGTACAAGAGGAGGAGGAACGAGTTCTACGGAGAAGTGGTGGTGAAGGGAGGGACGCTGATGGAAATTCACGAGAAACAGATGGAAGCGACTTTGAAACGTTTTCGGAACAATAGTCGCTCTGTCGCGGAATGGCTTGTCAAGGAATACGAGGAAGTCTTGGTAGAGGTCAGTCTCCCGGACCCTTCCCTTTGCGAGATAGTCCGATGTTGAAGAAAAACACCTCTTCACAGGCTCTTAACACCTGGCACCAGGATTTGGAAGGGAGGATGGCGGAGGAAAGGATGAAGAGAATGCAGACATTTCTCGTGATTCTGTCAGCTGTTGTCCTTGGGGGCGCAGTAGCCGTGGCTCTCATCAATAATGTTTTGGGAACAGTTGTGTTTATCGGAAGTTGCATCATCGGATGGTGGTGGTTTTCACGCACCTCAGCATCAAGGTGGCACGAGGTCAATGTAGGCAGAGTCCCTAAAAATCCGTACTGGACGCGAGAGAGAAGACTAAAAAATATTAGGTTCGCGTTCCGCAGTGCCACCGCCGGGATACTGACGCTGGCGCGAAATTGAAATCTTAAATTCTTTGAGTTGCTCTTTCTATTGGGGTCACTCTCTTCATCCTGTCTCGTTTACTTTCCTTGTAATGCTCCACACAAATAGGTGAGCTTTCATGTGGACACCCTGTATTTTATGATTCACGAGAAATACCCAGATTGTTTCAAGTAATTGAAAAATCATGCCAAACTGCCAACTTGATCAATTTCTAATTAATTCATTATGTTGATATTTCTTCCCCAATATTCCAATGTTAAGAATACACTATTTTTTCCGTCGTGTGATGATCATAATGCAAAAATGTTTAAGCCATTATAATTTGTCTTACATGAAAAGGATCAACTAATCTTAATCATTTTTAGTACTTTCCCATTAAAAGGCGATCGCTTCCCTTTTTTTTTATGGAACTACCTGTGCATACCAAAGCCTCTACACATACTACTAATATCCATGTCATTTCCTTTTTCTGACGTAGGTATTGGCTCAAAAGCATGCCGAGAGCGAGGAAAGACGTCGGGCTGCAGAGGAAAGAGCAGAGTTCCAGATGGAGAAGGCGTGCTGGAGCGCCGCTGAAGAGTACAAGAGGAGGAGGAACGAGTTCTACGGAGAAGTGGTGGTGAAGGGAGGAACGCTGGTGGAAAATCACGAGAAACAGATGGAAGCGGCTTTGAAACGCTTTCGGAACAATAGTGGCTCTGTCGCGGAATGGCTTGTCAAGGAATACGAGGAAGTCTTGGTAGAGGTCAGTCTCCCGGACCCTTCCTTTTGCGAGACAGTCCGATGTTGAAGAAAAACACCTCTTCACAGGCTCTTAACACCTGGCACCAGGATTTGGAGGGGAGGATGGCGGAGGAAAGGATGAAGAGAATGCAGACATTTCTCGTGATTCTGTCGGTTGTTGTCCTTGGGGGCGCAGTAGCCGTGGCTCTCATCAATAATGTTTTGGGAACAGTTGTGTTTATCGGAAGTTGCATCATCGGATGGTGGTGGTTTTCACGCACCTCAGCATCAAGGTGGCACGAGGTCAATGTAGGCAGAGTCCCTAAAAATCCGTACTGGACGCGAGAGAGAAGACTAAAAAATATTAGGTAAAGTCGCATTTTTCCAGTCCTCTGGGTGAAATACGTATTTGGCGAAGCCCTAATGCGACTCTCCACGTCGACGTTGCGGGATATCAATCCGCGAATATGCGGACCAAACCCGTCGTCCCCTCTGTCCCGACATCGGTCAACCAAGAAAAACGCATAGCCTCTGCAGGAGCAAGGGGGAACGCTCTTTCACTGTTCGCATCGTGCATTCGCACAAGGCAAAGCACCCATTCTAGTGTAAATGAAAAGCCCTGGCCGCCGCAACATCGGAATCACACAACCGAGAGACCGGATCGAAAAGAGGTTCTTCGAAATCCAAGCCAATTCGCAATCACCCTTTTCCTCTCATTTAAAATGTATTGCAACCCCTCATTGTCATCAACTCGAGATCCTCAACATTCGTCAGGACGATACCGAGTCGGTTCTTCTTCACATCGTCTCAATATTGAAATTCATCGATCTGGTCTGATTTGCAATAAAATTGAACACTCATGGTGTGCCCGTGGATAGTCTGTCATTCTCCAATTCATTTGAATAAGAATCGAGATTCCATCGCACGGAAGTAACCTTTGAAATCTGGGAAGGATTTCTTATATTTTATGCATATTTTCCTGTACGTACATTATACATTTTTTGCAATGCTTTACCAAATACACTGAAAGCCCCGGGTGTTTTTTTCTTCCAGTGCAATCTTTCAAAGAAGACCTTGTTTTTTCATTCCTCGGCATTTAAAATTTTTGGAGATTGCGATATTCCGCGAAATTAGAGCTTCGTCGAAATAAATTCATTCAGTTTAAAGATTCTTCTTTATTCCCTCTCCGAAGCACTACGGGTGAGAAAATGTTGTGATATAGGGTAAACGGGGGAGTACTGGACCACTCCTAAGGTTTTATTCCTATAAGATGCAGAAAAAGCTTCAGTTGCAATCTTCCCTTATGTTAGCATTAAGAAGAAATATTCCCCTCAAGGCCTACAGAAAGCCAGCAACATCTAGGATTATTTTGTGGTTACCATATTGTCTCTAAATTTTTCTAAGGGAAAACTTATGCAAACTTTTTTGCATCTTATAGGAATAAAAACTTAGTAGTGGACCACTACTCCCCTGTTTACCCTACCCTTTTACCAGAGACTCACGCGAGGGCAGACTGATGGTGTCTTCTTATGGTTGAAGGTGGGGCCATAGTACCATGTGTTTTGATTCAGGGACGCTGGAGATCCTCTTAAAACTGTGTTATCATCATAAAGAAGGTTGAAGTTAATTTTTTTGAGAGTAGAGAGCTATATGGTCGATTTAGCCTCTCTTCGAGTCAGCTACTGAGTTCGGTCCATAATGGCATGGCGAGAGATATCTCTCTTGCCCCTGGCTCAACCGATCCCTTTTGAGTTTCCCATGCCTGAGGGTGTTCCTTTTTTTACGACCTGCCTAGATCCTTGCGGCACACTGTGCTGTAGCGTAGATGAAAAATTCGTGCAACTCTGTCGTTGACAGAAGAGGTTCTCCTGCTGCTGAAGTGAGCAGTCATTAACGTCATAACATTCTACATGATGTGGAAAGGAACGCATGAGCATCACCAACACCAGAGTTCAATTGAATTGGGTGCGTGCATGAACACATCGACCTACGGAACGAGATCGGATTGACCTGGGGAGACGAGAGATGATGCATCGGTTTGAAGTCGAGGGAGCGAATAATATTATTACGTTCCTGATGTGTCCAGCGGACACCTTTTCCTCTTCCGGTGGTGGGAGTCACAACACAGGTTTTCTCTGGTTTATTATTATGATCTCTTTCTCTCTCTGTACAACGTTATAATGCACGAACGAGACGGAAGCTGGTCCTGTTGTCACTGGATCTCTCTGGGCCGGTGATCCACGTCTTCAGAATGCAATCAGGTTTGGGAAAGTAAAGGACTAAGACCAGGACCACGCACGAGACGGCACAAATGATAAACTAAAAGGCTCAGTCAAATCAGGATTGCATGAGGTAGCGCGGAAATGCCTGATACGGAGGAGCATAGGAACAAAGACCCAGGATTGTCTAATTCCAAGGGGGGATAACGAAAACTTTAGCTCGCAGGCAAAAGCATTCAGGATAAGAAACTATACGCGTATTCAGCTCCTTTCTTCACCTTTTGACGCGAAGAGGGGGACCCGCACTCCATATGTACGCTCACTCCCAGGGCCCAGTCCTTCATTTTATGTAACTTATGCGGACGGGCTCGGGGAATCAATGAACTTAGGATCGTGTTCCCGTTTGCTCCTTGGCGGACGAGGGTGTGGGCAAGAAAGGAAAGAAATTGGAATCAGGAGAGTGGGGTGGCAGATTACTTATAGGTCAGGGTCAAGGATCGAAAGCTACGAGTAACGCCTGTCGGAGTATGACCGTACCTAATCCTCCTAGAGAGACCCACAGAGAACTGCTCGTATGAACATAGGGCCAAGGCCCTAGATAAACAAGGTCTGGACAGCTTTTGTATGCGGAGATGCAGCGAACTGTGGCTTCCTATTGGCTGATCGCCGTCACGTGATACCATACCATTGGTTCATGACTGAGTGTGAGTGCCCACACGTCTTAAATAGGAATTCAAGTCTCTCTCTGTGTGCGTAGCTTTTTTTTTTACCACGGTGGGGTGCTCTGTAGTTAAATGCACCAACACGTCAACGGAAGGGTTCTGGATGTTTAGATTCCCCTCAAACTCCGAGAGACGTGAATTATGGAGGACCAAAGTCTGCCGGAAGAACTGGGTGACCAGAACTGAGATAGGTCTAGATTGCGTGAGGTGAGAGTGATATACTAGGGCGCAGAAGTTCTGGACTGTGGATGATAGTTTGCATGTGTCCTCTCAGATTTAATGAATAAAGTGTGGAAGTCTCCTTTTCAGGTCAGGTTGAAAATTGTAATGTCATTCCTGTCCACGGGAAGACGCACTGAGGAATTTTGCTTTGAAAAGCATAAGTTCTATGCTTCTGTTGCATTCTTTCTTTGTTTTTTTTTTTACATAAAATTATTTTTTTCCCGCGGAGAATGAATCGAACCAAGGCCAGCCATAGGCATGAGCCCCTCACAGGGCGCAAAATTCACCATGGACGCCAAAACTTGAACAGAATGAACGAAGCGATATTGGATACCGACCTCAATTTTACTTCAGAAAGTGGAAATGCCTTCCGTTTCAGTGTCATTTTGAACGCTAGGGTTGACCCCTCTCCCCTCTCAGAAGAGTAGTGGGGGGAAAGGGGGGGAAGGTTGGGATTCACTTTGCAGAGGGTGCAGAAATAGCTAGAGCCGGCACTGAATACAACAAAATGTTTCCAAATCATGGTGAGTCTTTCTGCAATTAGGATTTGCTATACCAATCTAAGGAATTCATAACGAGTAGGCGTAAATTAAATCGTCACACGTTCGTGTCATTTGCAGGCCTGGCCAAGCTTCTTCTGCCAGTCGACTGCATTTCCAGCTGCAGCAAGAAAGTGCAGGTAGAGGCTTAGTACAAGGGAAACGCGTATACTTAGTATTACGCACCCCATTCTCGAAGAATCACGTGAGATGGAAAGTAGGCACCGTAGTTTCATTGCCTCTCATCCGGCTATTTTCCCACATGCGATGGTTCATACCTCCAATTTCGCTAATGGACCCGTCTCCGGATGTGTGGCACGGAGGGTGTGGTTGATCGATCAGACTTTAATTTCCATCGCCCTGTTGCGTTCGATCCCATTCGTGCGTTTGGTATGGTGATTAGCGCGACCAAGATGGTGAACGGTGAAAAGTTCCTGGATACGTTTCGTGCCACTTCCGTCCTTCTCTCCCTGGGAGGATGTTTCCCGTTTACTGGGATGTTCGGCTCGGAGCTCCGGTTTCAAGCTGCATCGCTGCCCTCAATCTATTCCATGGGATTCCTCCTTTATATCGCCGTCGTTCTCTTTTACATCCTTCGGAGCATCGTTACATTCATGCTCAAAGAGCGTCGTTCCTTTCAGATGGTGCTCGCCGCTCTTCAAACGTCGGTCCGCATCGTTTACCCCGGCGTCGTCGTTATCTTTTTTCTCTATTCCGGTCCGCGGATTGCAGCGATTTTCGTCAAAGTGGACACTGTCACGCGAAAGCCGCGAAAGAGGGTCACGGAGTTCGTACTGCCTCTTCTCGTCCTTGTCGTTGTCGCCGCTTTGAATTCCACCGCTGTCATCATCATCGATTTGAAGTTTCTGATTCCTCTCTCTCTGACCATGTCGGGGATCGTCGTCGTTTTCATGGCACTCCACCTTCGGATCGCGTCCTTTGTTCGAGATATCATCGAAGACTTGCACCCACTCCAGAAAGAATTGAAAGAAGAGGCGTTGCTCCAATTGCGGTAAGATTCCACACGACTCACTCATTAAAAGGCGAACCGATCGTCACCGTATCGTCCGCATGCAGAGGAAAGTACGCGCGAATCTGGGCTTTGACTTCCGAAGTGACTGACGTCTTCGGATGGCCGGTACTCGTAACCATGATGGAGGCATTCGGCGTCAGTTTCACTGAGCTCTACCAACTGTTGACTCCTAGTCAACCGGGGATCCCCCAATTTCCAGTCGTCAGCTGCCTGGCCCTCTCGGCCGCTCTTGTCCCATTTCTGGTTCTCATCGAGAGTTCTCATCATCTATGTCGAACTGTGAGTGGGTTCCCTCCGTCCGTTCGAACAGAAGACCAGTCGCTATGAATGCCCTCGTGTCGATTCAGATTGGGGAACTGGAATGCGGACTCTTGGCTCTTCGAACTGGATATGCAGAATCCCCGGGGATACAAGAATTCTCTCGGGCTGTGAAGGACCTCCCCGTGAACATCTCCGCAGCTGGGTTCATCTATCTTAATCGAGGTCTCCTCGTCTCGGTGAGCTTCATTATTTAAATTGTTTTCAATTGCTGATAACATCATGTTACGACGTTTTAATTGTGTTATTCTGCCTCGCTGTTTCCAGTTTGCCAACGCGATGTTGACCTACATGGTGATCCTACTGCAGTTCGGCAACACTGGTGATCCTCTAGTCCAAACATCTTCTACGCCTTACCCAGGCCGCTAGATAATAATCGAATGCCTGGCTGCCTCTTTCATCCGACTGAAGCATTCGCAAACGTTTCCCTACAAACATCGTTTCAAGCGCTTCTTTCAAGTTCAAACAGGGGGTTTCGTGGATGTTTTCTATACATGTAAAGTGTTAAGAACCGCAAAGATCCTGCACGATATAGATAGAGCATGGCACGAACCTACGTGAATTCTAAAAAACTGCAACATCAGGAATAAAAGAACGCATTATTTGGACCACCCTGAAAATAATGAAATGGTTTTTCTTTTAAGTCGCAGCTAAGATTGTAAATTTTCTCAGTCTGTGGTTTTTGTTTCAATTGATGCTCTTGAATATCCGATAAAAGTCCAGCAAAAAATCCCGGAAAATGAAGCATGATCTTCATTCTCTTGCGGATGAGAGCAGGCATTTCTGGTCTCTGCGGTCCATAAGAGAGACTTCCACATTA